TACCATGGCATTCCCAAGATCACTAGGTCATTTCCAAGCCCATTATAACATTCCCAAGCTCATCGTGATATTCCCAAGCTCCTTATGGCATTCCCAAGCTCACTATGGCATTCCCAAGCCCATTATAACATTCCCAACCTTGTCATGGCATTCCCAAGCTCGCCATGGCATTCCCAAGCTCCTCATGACATTCCCAACCTCGTCATGACATTCCCAAGCTCATCGTGATATTCCCAAGCTCCTTATGGCATTCCCAAGATCACTACAGCATTCCCGAGCTCATGATGGCATTCCCAAGCTCGTCATGACATTCCCAACCTCACCATGACATTCCCAAGCTCGCCATGGCATTCCCAAGCTTGCCGTGGCATTCCCAAGGTCATCAGGGTATTTCCAATCCCTCGCAATGATATTCCCAAGCTCACTACGGCATTCCCAAGCTCATTATAGCATTCCCAAGCTCCTTATGACATTCCCAAGCTCGCCATGGCATTCCCAAGATCACTATGACATTCCCAAGCTCGCCATGGCATTCCCAAGCTCGTCATGACATTCCCAACCTCACCATGATATTCCCAAGCTCACCATGGCATTCCCAAGCTCTTTATGGCATTCCCAAGCTCACTATGACATTCCCAAGCCCATTATAACATTCCCAACCTTGTCATGACATTCCCAAGCTCGTCATGGCATTCCCAACCTCGCAATGATATTCCCAAGCTCACTACGGCATTCCCAAGCTCATTATAGCATTCCCAAGCTCCTTATGACATTCCCAAGCTCACTATGGCATTCCCAACCTCATCATGACATTCCCAAGCTCCTTATGGCATTCCCAAGCTCACTATGACATTCCCAAGCCCATTACAACATTCCCAAGCTTGTCATGGCATTCCCAAGCTCACTACGGCATTCCCAACCTCATCATGACATTCCCAAGCTCCTTATGGCATTCCCAAGCTCCTTATCATATTCCCAAGCTCGCTATGACATTCCCAAGCTCGCTATGACATTCCCAAGCTCAGTATGGCATTCCCAACCTCGTCATGACATTCCCAAGCTCACCAGGGCATTCCCAAGCTCCTTATGACATTCCCTCGTCACGGCATTCCCAAGCTCGCCATGGCATTCCCAAGCCCATTATAACATTCCCAAACTCGTCATGACATTCCCAAGCTCCTTATGGCATTCCCAAGCTCCTTATCATATTCCCAAGCTCGCTATGACATTCCCAAGCTCGCCATGGCATTCCCAAGCTCACTATGACATTCCCAAGCTCAGTATGGCATTCCCAACCTCGTCATGGCATTCCCAAGCTCACTACGGCATTCCCAAGCTCCTTATGGCATTCCCAATCTCGTCATGACATTCCCAAGCTCGCTATGACATTCCCAAGCTCGCCATGGCATTCCCAACCTCGCCATGGCATTCCCAAGCTCCTTATGGCATTCCCAAGCTCCTTATGACATTCCCAAGCTCCTTATGGCATTCCCAATCTCGTCATGACATTCCCAAGCTCGCTATGACATTCCCAAGCTCGCCATGGCATTCCCAACCTCGCCATGGCATTCCCAAGCTCCTTATGGCATTCCCAAGCTCCTTATGACATTCCCAAGCTCCTTATGGCATTCCCAATCTCGTCATGACATTCCCAAGCTCGCTATGACATTCCCAAGCTCGCCATGGCATTCCCAACCTCGCCATGGCATTCCCAAGCTCCTTATGGCATTCCCAAGCTCCTTATGACATTCCCAAGCTCCTTATGGCATTCCCAAGCTCACTATGACATTCCCAAGCCCATTATAACATTCCCAACCTCGTCATGACATTCCCAAGCTCACTATGACATTCCCAAGCTCAGTATGGCATTCCCAACCTCGTCATGGCATTCCCAATCTCACTATGGCATTCCCAAGCTCACTATGGCATTCCCATCTCGCGGATCCGTGCTCGGAGCATCCCAAACATCACACATGGACACAAGTAAAGCCGACACCAAGGAGCCACCATCGACCCTTTATTTTCCCAGTTATTTACAAGAAAAAAGGGGGAAAAGGGGAAATTCCCGCAGGCGTCGGTGGGATTCGAACCCACAAAGAGCCCCGGATCCATCCGGATCATCCAGCAGCAGCGGGTCCTGCTGGAAAACGAGCTTATTTCACCTGAAATTGGGAAAAAGCAAGAAAAAACATTAATTTGGGGGCAAAATCCCAGATTTCCCCCTGTTTTTTAATATATTTTTGTGCAAAGAGGAGGACAGTCTAAGGGGGGGAAAACGGGTGGAAAAAGAGGGAATTTGGGGCCAAAAGGGGGATATTTTTGCATCCCGGGGCAATATCTTTGCATTGGGTGTTTTGCGTTGTCTCGGGGTGGGATTTTGGGGCGAAAAGGGTGTTTTTTTCCCCCTTTTTTTTCGGATTTACCTTGATCAAGGTGACGGTGGCGCTGTAGAAGAGGCTGAGGATGAAGAGGACGATGAAGGTCGAGGCCGTGGTCCAGAGGTTGTGCAGATCCTCCTCGTCCTCCGCGAGGGAGGCTTGGGACAGAGCCAAAAGCCGATTAGCGCCTTCGACGGGACGAAAAACAAGGCAAAAACGGGTATTTTCAACCAAAATCCCTACGTCGAAAGAAAAAATTGATATAGCGAAAAAAAATCGGGAATTTTGCCCGATTTGGGCGTTTTTGAGAGGATTTGGGGCTGCAAGCGAAGGGGGCTGCAAGCTCCGAAAGCCACAGGGAGGCGGATGCGACAAAGAGGCGAAAACACCCCAAAATGGCCCAATTTCGTGCTGTTTTGCAAATATTATATGTTTTTTTCATCATGCGAAAGCCCCCATTGGGGATTTTGGGGTGGTTTTCTGGTATTAAGGCATTAAGGGGATTTATTGTGAAACGGGGATTTATTGCAACGCGGAGGTGGAAATCGGCCCCATTTCGTGGTAGAATTTGCAGAATTGGCGAATTAGCCAAAATTATGGCAAAATATGCCCCAAATTTGCAAAATTCCCGCAATTTCTCGTGCTCTTCCCGCACGAGCTCCGGGATCGGAGCCCAATGGGATGAATCAGCCCCTGGATCACCAAAATCCCCCTTTTCCAGAGCGGATGCTCCCCAAAAGCCCCTTTTCTGCCAGCTTTTCCCCCAAAAGAAGCTTTTATTTGCAAAGCAGGGAAAATATGGAATAAATTTATTTCAAAAAACCCCATTTTTGCTCAGGGCACTGTGAGAAATTTGGAGTCCTTCAATGGGGGAAAGCTGCAAAAATCCGAGGAAAACTCTGCGGATTTGGGGAAATTGGGTGATTTTCCGCTTCCTTTTCCGGGATTTTCCGCCCGGATCCGGCTCTTTCCCCCATGCAGCGTCTCCACGTGGTGTTTTCCCACCCAGCAGCCCCTTTTTGGGCTTTTTTGCCCCAATTTGGGGAGTTTTGGGGGGTCTGGGGCAATGCTGCAACCTGGAACGGGCTCTGATGGGGCAAAACGCCACTTTTTGGGGGCAAAATCCCTCTTGGAAGATGTTTTTTTCCCCAAAAAATTCCTAATTTCCAAACGGGCTTAAATGCACTTAAATACGGCTCTTTCCCCCCAAAAAAACGCAACCCAGGATCCCCTTTTCCCTCCTTTTCCTCATTTTTCCCACCCCTTTTTGCAACCTCTCCCAGCGCCTCCGCCTCTAGGCCCCAATTTCCCCTTGTTCTGCCCCAAAATGGAGCCCTTTCCAGTTTGCATCACCCCGTGCCGCTGGGTTGAGGAGAAAACCCCTTTTTTAGCGTTTTTAAGAGGGAAAAGCTGCATTAAAGGCCGTGCATGCATGCAGGAAGGCATTGCATGCATGGAGACGTTGCATGCGTGCAGTGGTCGTGCATGCAATGGGGTGTTGCATGCATGCATGCAAGGAGGAAACGCATGCAGGTGCGCGTGCATGCATGCAACCGTGCAATTGCATGCAGATGTGCATGCAACGAGGTGCTGCATGTGTGCAAGGTGTTGCGTGCGTGCAAGAAGGCAATGCATGCAAGAAGGCAATGCATGCAAGAATGCAATGCACGCATGCAAAGGCTGATGCATGCATGCAAGAATGCAATGCATGCAAGCAAGAATGCAATGCATGCCAGCAAAGGCTGATGCATGCATGCAAGAATGCAATGCATGCATGCAAAGGCTGATGCATGCATGCAAGAATGCAATGCATGCATGCAAAGGCTGATGCATGCATGCGTCCCCCCCCATGCAACGCCAAAGCAGCCCCAAAACCCCCCGAAAAGGCCCCAAATGCAGCCAAAATGGCATCAAAACCCGCAGCGACGCCGGGTCCTTGGGCCGCAGCACCCCCAAAACGGAGAAGAAACCCCCGAAACCGAAAAGAAAATCCCCAAAACGAAAAGAAATCCCCTAAAAGCGAAAAGAAACCCCCAAAAGTGAAAAGAAACCCCCAAAAGCGAAAAGAAATGCACAAAACTGAAAAGAAATCCGCAAAACTGAAAAGAAATCTGCAAAACTGAAAAGAAACACCCCAAAACGAAAAGAAATCCCCAAAACTGAAAAGAAACCCCCAAAACTGAAAAGAAACCCCCCCAAAATGAAAAGAAAATCCCCAAACTGAAAAGAAACACCCAAAAGCGAAAAGAAAATCCCAAAATGAAAAGAAACCCCCCAAAGCGAAAAGAAATCCACAAAACTGAAAAGAAATCCGCAAAACTGAAAAGAAAATCCCAAAAGCGAAAAGAAGCCCCCAAAACTGAAAAGAAACCCCCCAAAATGAAAAGAAAATCCTAAAACTGAAAAGAAACCCTATATTTTTGGTATCTCCTGAAAATTATCGACTTTATTGCCCTTTTTCCCCCTCCCCGGCGGAGCAGGACGACACGGCAGGGTGGATTTTTCGCTGGATTTTTTTATGGATATGGAGATTTATGTACAAAAACGCATGGAATCGGGGGGAAAATGGGGTGAATTCCCCCCATCGGGGGCGATTTTGGGGCGAAATTGCCGATTTTGGGGTTAGTAACAGGCGGCGGCGGCGTCCGCGAGCACCAGGGACACGTTGACCGAGGTGGGTTTACCCGAGGACTTGTCCACCGACTTCTGGGCCACCTGCAGGGGCAGCTTCTCGTGGCCCACGAGACACGTGTAGACGTTGCCCGCGGCCCAGTCGGCGCCGGCCACGCTCAGGGCGCTGTAGGTGAAATTGCAGATTTTGGGGTTAGTAACAGGCGGCGGCGGCGTCCGCGAGCACCAGGGACACGTTGACCGAGGTGGGTTTACCCGAGGACTTGTCCACCGACTTCTGGGCCACCTGCAGGGGCAGCTTCTCGTGGCCA